TTATTAATTCGTAATTAGGTCTTTCTGTAATTATCCAGCTTCTAATTAAACTATAATCCATATTTTTCTTCTTATATAATTCACCACATTCTCCGTAGTTCTGTCTCAGCTATGTGTCATCACAGGAAGCTCTATTCTTAATATTGTATTTTTACCTTCTTTGCTGTATCCTGTTCCTCTGTGGTGCAGCAGCGTCCTGATTTCTCCTCAGGGATCATTAAACCTTTTTTTGGAGGCTGGTTTGGGAACAGATTGGATTTCCCAGCTGATCCTCACAAAGTTAATGGAAACCTCAAACACAGTCCTCCTGAGCAGACTGATGGATTCTCCGAGGGACACCAGACGTGTTTTCTTGTTTACCCGCTGGGGGGAAAAAATCAACTTTAAAACACTTTTTATCTTCTTTTCACCACAGAGTTCGTTCGATGCATCACCATCTGAAATCAGTCAGTAAACAGCAGCTCGTCCTCTGTCTGAGGGAGTTATTATGTTTCTATTCTTATTTCTTGATTCAGTGTTCAGTCGAGTGGTTCCTGCAGGCCAAATCATTTTTTTCTCTGTTGTATGTAATTTATTTTTCTTCAACATTTTGGGGTTTCATATTTTTCATTACTTCCTCCAGGGTGTTTTTCTGTATTTTTCCATGTATTAGTTTCGACTTTGATTTGATATTGATCTCCTGTAAACACAAATGTTATTTTCAGCTTCTTTTGCAACTTATTCTGAGGCTATTAAGTTTGTTTTCGTCCTCCTTTGTATTTCCCACCACAGTTTACTTTTTACTTCTTCATCTCCTCCATGCCGCTTGTAATTACTTTTTCCTCTTATCTTGATTTCAGGAATATTTAAGAGCACCTGTTACATCGATGTACGCTGGTTTCCATTTGACGTGCAGCGCTGTGACCTGAAGTTTGGCTCGTGGACGTACGGCGGCTGGTCTTTGGACCTGCAGATGATTGAGGCTGATATCACTGGATACATCGCTAACGGAGAGTGGGACCTTGTGGGTAAGAGCACATTAACGGAGACATGAGGCTGAAATATTTTGTGTTTTATTACCTCCGCCAAGGAGGTTATGTTTTCAGTTCAGTTTGTTGGTTTACCAGTTGGATTTGGAAAAACTACAGGCCTGATTTTATGGAACTTGGTAGAAGGAACCCATTAAATTTGGGTGGATACGCAAATTATTTTTTACTTTCGTTAAAGCTGCTCTGTGGAGTTTTGCCCATTTGTGCCATCCGCCGTGTTTTTCCGAGTACTGCAACAATAACAGTCAGCGTGCGCCGTTCGATGACGTCGGCAATACGAGTGACGCTCCCACACCGCACACCAAGAAAAAAGGGAAAAGAAGATGGACTCCTCAGATGAGGTAAATAATGGCAATGTTTTTTGGGTTTTTTTTTCATTTATATTAAGCTGCATGAATGTGTATTTTGACACTAGTTGATAAGCTGTTAGTGGATGTCCACAGACGTATAACCTTGCAGCCTCAGTCTCGTCTATCGCTCTTCAAAATGCTAACGTTAGCTTTTTGCTTTATTTATCCAGAGGTCAGAGCTAAAGCTAAATGACACACCTATTTACCACCCAATAATTTTTGTTGTTTTATTTGCTATGAACAAATATNTATTTATCCAGAGGTCAGAGCTAAAGCTAAATGACACACCTATTTACCACCCAATAATTTTTGTTGTTTTATTTGCTATGAACAAATATACAGACTGCTCAGTGGCAGAGCGGTGCACTCTTGCGCCGCGGTAGCACATGAATGGGTTTGTCGGCGGAGGTCTGCGCTTTGTGCGCTCTGTGTGAAACGGGCTTTACTCTGGTTTGATTTCTGTGTTTGTCACTCTCTCGTTTTGCCTTTTTACCTTCTTCTGAACGTCGCAGAGGTTGGGGAGGACCAGCAGGACCAGCTCCAGAGGCTTCGGAAGCTTTCCTGGGCCGTTTCTTTGGGTTTTCACACATCTTTCAGTAGCTCCTCTGCTAGCCTCGTCGTCTCCGACATTTCCAACTGCGCATGCGCTCTTTGAACTCTACGCCAAATGCGTCATTTCCTGTGCAACAGCGCGGGAATGTCGCTCCTGAGAGGCAATAGCGCTTCTAAGCAAACCAGAGACTGTTGTGTGGTGGAGATGCGTTCAATGATCATCCTAATAACTCGTTTGGCAGTGGCTGTAATGTAATAGACATTGGTTTATGTGTAAAAACTCCACAGGGCAGCTTTAACATTGCGAGACAAGGCATTTGACCTTGGCTGAGCCTGTGCTCTCCGAGTGCCCTTCTAGTTTGTTGTATGGTTTGTTTGTTTGATTGTTTGTTGTCACCCTGGCTGTTGCAGCATTTTTAAGACGGGACACTTATTTAGTTTCATTGATTTCCCTTTTACACCTGAACATCCGCAGTTATAAAGTCCCTGTTAACTTTCTGTATCTAGAATTCAACACTAATTTTATTAAACACCATGGTAAAAAAACAGGAGCTTGAAATTTACTTACACGACACTGATCTCCGCCAGGTGTTATCTGCCTTTTCCACTGTAACTTTTGGCCGCGCTGAGTCAAGCCATGCCGCACCCATTTGCATTTCTACTATCAGTTTAGACGTGCCGTGCCATGCCAAGCTGTGCCAGAGGTGGACTTCCTCAGCAGTAGGTCCAAAAGCAGGGCGACCTGCCCTCAAGTGTGTAGCGGTGACATCTTTACGACTGTAGCAAGCCCCCAAAGGCCCCCCTTTTCCACCTCAAGCAAGTGTGTGTGTTGGCAGACTGTACTCACCTCTGTCTGCAGGAGACCAGAAAGAATGGTGTTTTTCAAAGTCTCTGTGTGTTCAGCTCTCAGTGCTTTTGTAGCTTCTAACTGAATCTCTGTGGTTTGGAGTTTAGTTTCTCTCCTGTGTCCTGTTTTTACTTTAGATATCTGCTTTATTTTACTGTTTCATGTTCACTATCAGCCGTATTAGAAACTGTGTAAAGTTGCTGCTCAAAAACTCAGTATTTCCTTATTTTGCGGCTTCACAAAAGACGTTTTTACATAACAAAATATCAGGGGATTTTTAGTGTACAGAATCTACAGGAAATAAAATGTATTTATCACTGCATTAGCTGAACTTTGTTAGTGGCTGTTCTTCAGTTAAGACAAGTGTAATAATACAGCAGGGAGGAAGAGTAAAATCAGAAACAGCTACAGTGAGATGTTGATGAAGAGCTGCAGACAACAGGCTCTTACTGCACCTCTGCAAACAGCTCACCTCCAACAGATAAACTTCTTCTACCTGCCCTGCTGAGGAAAAACACATGCAGCAAAAATAACAGGAGACTTTAGCCGTGGATCAGCACTCTGCTTTTGAATGTCATCACTCAAGACAAACTCTCATCAGTTGAAGACTCATCTTCAAGAAGGTAGCCCTGTTGTAATGGAAATGCAAATCCCTGCGGCGCTGGGCTGACGGCCCAAACCAAACCAGCACATGACTGTCGAAAAGGGGTTTTATTGTGTGAGTGTGTTTCTGTCTGTGCGCAGCTAATCTCACAAACCACTGGACCATTCAGCCTCCCATTTTGTGTGCACATTTATGACTGTGTGCTCAAGGACCTCTCACGGTTGCGGTGATTCATAGTTGTTGAAAAACCTGTTTTATTAACTTTTTTATACCATCACTGACTGATGATGCCTCACCCCTTCTAACCAGCCAGGAGGAGCCGCATGTTTTCCAGAAATCATCTCAGCTAAAAACAACAAGCCTTACTGTCTGTTGCAGGACACATTTTGAACCTCAAAAACTGACATCCATTGAAAAGTTTGGTCTCATTTTGAACCGGAGCATCTGTAGATTAGTTCCATACCTGATACACTGTGATCTGCTAAAGTTAGACACGATACAAGATGAATTAGTCACCATTTTTGTTATCTTCATGGTAACCGTAATGGAGCCGAGAGGGACAATTAAACCATTTGTTTGTCTGTTTTAATTGTGTTTATTGTTGTTTTTTCCGACCTTGTTGTGCTGTAGCATACAAAAGAAGTTAATACGGTTCAAAGTCCAGTTATGAACGACATGGATCAAAGATTTGTGGCTGTGTTTTTGTTATTAAAATACATTCACCCTATGTAATTATATTGTACCTACATTTCACATACAGTGTCTGTTAGCAGGAAAACTTGATCTGCTCTGTGGAATGCTCCAATGCTTTGGCAAAAATAAACAAGGTGTGTGTTTTTATAGCTTCTAAAACTTGCTGTGGAGCGTCTGCTGAAATTAGGCAACATGAATTGTCTTCAGTGGCAGCAATCAGCTGGAGCATCTGCGTGGCGGAAATCTGCACTCCACTGAGCACATTGCTCCAGTTGAACGTGTGATTTTAACAGCAGCAGCATCAACCTGCTGCTCCAACAGCCTCCACTCTTAGGTCACCCACTGGTGTCAGGTGATGAGGTCTGATTCATGCTGGATGGATGACTCTGTGCAGACGAGTCAAGTTCCTCCACATCAAACTGGGAAAACCATTTCTTTTAATAGAAGAATTTAAAAGACGAAAGAAGCGAATGGGAAAAGGAGCAAGAAAAGAAAAATCCACCTCGTCTAAATAATTCAGTTATCAGGATGTACATGATCATTGGGTGTTTTAGACCACTACACACCTGCAAGGGCTTCTGTCCACATTATATTTCCACCATCACATATATGCTCAGTATGCTTGTTTGTGTTTTGTGTTGTATATTGTTTACATGGCTAACAGGTATTTTAGAATAGTGGCTGCGCTGTTAGGGCTGAACCCGACTCCATCTTATTTTATTCCATATCCTTTTCATGACACTATCCTGGCCGGAAACACAGCCACGGGACGCTAAAGAAAATGGGTTTTGTTGTGTGTTGATCTCAAACTGTGGTCTGCAGCTTGGCAGGCATCTGGACTAGGGTTGTCATGAGAACCGATACTTCAGTACCAAGTCGTTGCCATCACGCAGAAAATACGTTGGTACCTGTTTTTTTTGGTACCATAAGTACCGGATACAACTTCGCCCTCAGCGGGCCATATCGATTCCTGTCAGAACTGACGGGGGCAATATATGCACGTCAGTTGGTGCCGAGGACGAGCGCCGAAGAAGAACACTTGTTCTCTGTCGTCTTTGCTAGAAGCAATGGTTTCTACAAGTGCTGCTGGCGCCACAACACCTCAGCTTGTCGAAAGTCAGGTAGTAGGAGTCGTGTGTGGAGAGGGTTAGACCTCATTTACACCACAAGCAAGTAAACAGCGACCGTTCGCGAGGGCTACGTGAACGGTCGCTGTTTACTCGCGTTTTCATTTCAGCGAGCATGTTAACAGGTTAGAGTATTCACACCACATCCGTTCTACGCGCTGCTCGAGTTGCGCTGCTTTCACGAGCAAGCTCGAAAATAGAGGAGACGCCGATTTTTTTGCGTGAGTCGCAAGCGAATGGTCGCGATATTCAACAAAAAACACAAGTTTGCGTGTTTTGTGACCTCTCTCGGCCACCGTAGACATCTCCCCCTTGACCAAGCGAGACCTGACAGGCACATGTTTCATGTACTTACCCATTTTTAGTGCTAAATATTAATTCTCCAAGCATTGGAATAATCACTGGCGCACAAACCTGTCCACCCTGGGCTTTGGGTCCAAACTCACTTCTTCTTCTTTGGGATTTATTGAAGATTTGCAAACATGGTGCACTACCGCCACCAACTGTTTGGGCGTGGTTTGTATTTTGATGGGACAGCAGCAGCCGCTGCATGACGCGTATGTTCGGTTTTGGTGTGAATACACGTGTGCTGCCGCTACGCTTATGGACACTTGCAGCGTAAATGAGGCCTTAGAGTTAAAGTTAAAGTTTGAAACAGTTTTAATAAAGTAGTGAATTTAGAAATACACAAGTTCTGTTTTTTGATTTTTATCGTGGTATCGACTGAGTATCGAGAATCGTGGAAATTTACTGGTATTGGTATCGACTACTGAAATTCTGGTATTCTGGACAAGCCTAGTTTCAAC